GAGTATATGAAATTAAATTTCTAGGTGTCATAGTTGATGACAAATTCTCCTGGAAATCTCATATCAGATATGTTCAGCACAAAATAGCAAAGAATATATCGATATTGGCAAGGGTTAGATATATTTTGGACGGGAAAGCACTACGCATTTTGTATTCTTCATTGGTTTTACCATACTTAGAGTATGGCGTTGAAAACTGGGGAAATATATACAAAAGCTCACTTCAACCATTGCTTATATTACAAAAAAGAGTGAAAACTATCTTAAAGATACAAGTAAATGTAGTTAGTTCTGGATTTTCAAAATATATTTTGAAAAGAACATTTCTATAGATAATCTGTATTTTTAATGAGTTGTGGCAAAATATAATTTACAGTTTCCCTTACATATGGTATGTGTGTGTGTGTGTGTGTGCTTTTGTGCAGTGTGAGGAGCTGCAGATGGAACTGCATACCATGGAGCAGGAGTGTCAGTCCAGCCTGTCCCGGTTGTCGCAGTGCAGAGAAGAACTCCGGCAACTCAGCTACCGCCGCAGGAAAGTGGTGAGCAGTGTGAGTGTTTATGTGCAAGTGTGTGTGTGTTTAAGGGTCATTTGCACCCACATCAGCCAAAACGTAATGATGAAAATATCTTTAATGCTTTGTACATTTTGTTATATGTGTTTGCTGCAGTGAACAGCAGAGCAGCTTCAACTAAATTCAACTTTGATATCTTCTTCCCTTCTATTTAGACGCGGTGTGGGTCCTGGTGGAAGATGTGTGTTTTCCTCCTTGTACTCCTCGCTGTGGCAGGGGTTGCCATGTTGTGGCTCTGGCATCCTCCTTTCAGGGAGCAAGTTGAAGACCTTTATTCAGACATAGAAACACGTATTGAAGATTATCTCATGGAAATGGCCTCTCCTGGACACTCAGGCTGTTTTAGACCAATATGATAATGCAATTGCTCAGGAATGTTATTTTGTTGTTTTTGTTTTTTTATATCATTATAGGATGTAGTTTATTGAAATGTTTGTATACTATATTTTAGGTTTAGAAGAAAATGCATGTGTGCCATGAGATAATGCTGTGTTGATGTGTGGATGATGTACTGTACATGTGTGCAGATAGATCAAATACAAGTGTGGAAAAACATCACAGTTATTGTAATGTTTGCAACAATGAAAACATGGTAAAAGCTCTGTCCGTTCACAAATGGACATTAAAGGCACATAAAAAACTGTGAATCAATAATATCAACAGAATAGTTAGGAGAAGAGGAAAAATCCTTTTTACTGTAAACAGCTTATTTTGTCAACAGCACCACCTGGAAGTATTAAAAAGTCACATAGAACATTAAAATCTATTAAAATAAAGAGAAAAATTCCAAGTAATCATTTCAGGTGGTTATTTAGTTACATCAGTGCCGCGGGATTTTTAAGGAGCTGTTTTAGATTCATTGTTGAAAATGGCATTGCAAGACAGAGTAAGCACAAAATAAAGAAGTTGTTTAGTAACACTGTTACTAACAAATGTTACTGTCGAGTTTTCTTACTCAGAGGTTCAAAATAAAGTATCAATATACAGTATAGTTTGTTTCACCTCAAATTGTGGTTGAAGTTCAGAATTCATGATGCATAGGGCTAAATTTAATGCTAAATACTTGAAGTCTAGACATTGTCAAAACAGTGTTAAACAGGTTCACATATAAACAGCCTCTTAAATCTTATTGCACTTCAAAAGTATGATCTGCTCATCATCCGCTGACCACAGTAAGATTTCATCCTATTCAGCAGTGGAAACTAAATATACATAAGTAGAAATATTGTATTAAATATACATTTACATCAGTGTTTCCATATATTTTTACTCCACTACATTTATGTGACAGCTCTAATTGCTGGTTCCTTGTCAAATTAAGACTTTACATAGTTTCATGTGGTAATCTTATTTAAAAACTAAACTTTAAAACGAGCCATAAAAATTACCCAGAGATTTTCAACCCTTCCGACTAGTGAAGAGAGAAGAGAAGTAAAGAACTATTATGTAGAAAAATTACCCCTGTCAGAGTTAAATAATTAGTTTATCATGATATTGGACCATTCGTAAGACTGAGTAAATGTACTTTGTTACAGAGTTACTATAGAAGCAGAACTGTGCAGTTGTAAATACATATTTCTAATATATCTTTTACTGTGGAGTCACTTGGCCTATTTCACTCTCACTTTTATAAAACTTTTGTTAACCCATCCTGTACTAGATCACGTCACACATTTTTCACAAAAAATGCAACTAACAGATGCATCGCATTGTGTGACTCATCAACCAGCAAAGAGATGGTAATGTGTGGTAACTACTAGTTGCTCATGACGGTGCTAAATTCACAGAATCATACATGGTAAATTCGACAAAAGTGTTCATAAAACTGTCAGCAATGACACATGGTACCATCCATTGTTTCGTTACACTCTGAATGGGATGGAGCTATAGTTCATTGTGTTCAGTGGTTTTAACTGTTCCAGATAAAGCTCCACTCTCGCCAGGCACTGACACATCACTTCCACCACATAGACCAGCAGCTCCTTTCTTTCACCAACATTTACCTGTATATTCCCCAAACAGACTGCTGGACATTGAAGAGATGGATCTTTGCTGGACTGAGGTCAGTCTCCTGGTAAAACCGGTGCTGAAGGTAAGAGGCTGAGGGGTTTTGTAACATATTTCACAATATGACAAAAGGGGATCTTGCAAAATTCTCTTTTGCTAACAGGGTGACACTTCTTTGCAAGATGAGGATCGGAGTTTTACTGTTCCTTGTGGGGTTGTATGTGTTGAACGTCACATCTTCCCTGAAAATCTGCGCTTTCAATGTTCAGAGCTTTGGTGAATCAAAAGCAAACAACAAGAAGGTCATGGGGATTCTACTGAAGGTACTCTCCTGTATGAGAACATGATGATGTATGTATGAGAACAAAAATATACTGATGCATTTTTTTTTGAACATGATGATGTACTGTATGTATGACAACAAAAATATACTGATGCATTTTTTTTTGTTGTTTTGTTTTGTTAACTTCCAAGATACTTTCTCGGTGTGGCGTGTGTCTTATTCAGGAGGTCCGGGATGCTAAAGGAGACGCAATACAAACTTTGGTCAAGGATCTTAACAAGTACACATTTACACATTTCCAACCCTATCTCTGTCACACACCATCCAATCAACACCTCTAAGTTCAAATTTAAACTTATCCATGTTTTTGTCAGCAGATTTGACAAATCCAACTCATACTCCTATGTGGAAAGTGAAAGACTGGGAAGGAAAACCTACAAGGAACAATATGTGTATGTTTACAGGTAACCCATGCTGTCTAACAAAAACATCTGTTCCTGTTAGCAGTCAACTCAATGTGATGTCCTCAGTGTCACTGTTTTTCTGTCTCATGATCAGGAACAATGAGCTGAAAATCAAAGAGCATTATCAGAATCCTAAGTTCGATGGAGAGGGGACCAGTGGAGGGGATGTTTTCTCCAGAGGGCCTTTCATTGTCCGCTTTCACTCCCCGACAACATGTAAGATGAAATGAAAAGCAAAAAGTAACTGCACACCAGTGCACTCTAGTCTCCCAGTTATGATCTAAAGCAAGTTTCACAAAGATAAACTTTGACTCAGGTTTAGATGAAGCAGACTTCAGACAGGTATCTAAGTTCATCCACAGCACAGAGCTGCCTAGTTCATGACCGTCTTAAATAGAAAGAATTTAGCATGAATTCTAGATAAGTTAAAACTTTCTTCAATCTAACAAACATGTCTGAGTCAGTTACTGGGGCTCTCCAGTACAAACATTTTGCTTTCTTCAACCTTTATAAGGATCATTTATTAGTAAAATTCAGTGGAGTGTAACATTGCAAACTTCTTTCTGTAGCATAAACACGGTGCAAAGCTGAATTTATTTTTATTTTTATGTGACTTCTGCTAACACAGTCAGGTTCGAGCTAGTTATTTTCAGAAAATAAAAATACTAAATGATGTCATATTTTCCTGTGTTTTACTTTGTTTTGACATTTGGTGCCAGTGGTCAGCAGGTGTCTGGTGACTGTTACCATAAAAACACACTCTTGGCTTGGGGTTGAGATTAAAGTCAGAATTCTGACTTTAAAGTCAGAATTTGAAAAAAAATTTATGCAGTGGCCCTAATACTCTTCCGTAGGTTTACACCAGTCAGTTTAAAAATATCTCTGTGAAACCAGCCTAAAGTTTAAAGCATCCATGTTATTTTCCACATGTAAATATACTGGTAACAAACTGGATATACTGGTTAAAGAGCCATGGGTAAGTTCTTTTCCTGGTTTGCCATATTAAAGCAATTTATCTAGGTTTCTGATTTTCTGCCAAGTGCATAGGTGGGCCCATGTAATTTCTATGTAGTAGTTAGTAATAATACATTTTAAAAAAGACTATTCCAACTAGAATAGAATGGTAAATGCAGCAGTGTTTGGCTGGGTTCACCAGTTAATACATCTTTTTCAGATTTGCTGAACATAAAGCAGCAAAAAGCAAACATCCACATGTGCACAGTCAGAAACATGGAGAATATTAGTGTATGCAACAATATAAATGTCTGAATGCTCTATATAAATGTCATATCACAAATACGATCGTAATGTTTAAGACCTGAACACTACTATGCTTGTAAATACTTTAGTTAAAGATGTGTTACAAATGTATTTTGGTTGTTTTGTTTTCAGTGGTGAAGGATTTTGTCCTGATTGGGCAGCACACCTCTCCAAAAACTGCCATGAAGGAGATGGATGAACTGTATACTGTCTTCAAAGGAATTTACAAGCAGTGGAAGACGGATGTAAGTGAAACCACATCATGATCTTCATCAAATGTAGTTACATTTTACTAATTTCGGTCCCTTTTTAAAATCTACTTGTGGGTCACAGAGCTCCTGTTGGTTACTTTCTTCAACACATGATGAAATTTATGAGTAATTTCAATTTGTTGAACTTCCCTTTTTGCTTCCTTTCATTCAAACCAGAATGTAATGATCATAGGGGACCTCAACGCTGGCTGCAGTTACGTTACCATCAAGGGCTGGAGAGCTGTGCGCTTGAGGAGTGACCCCAGATTTCACTGGCTAATTGGAGATGAGCAGGATACTACTGTGCGGGAGAAGACACACTGTGCCTATGACAGGTCAGTGACTGCACAAATGTAGAATCCTACCAGCTCTTTTATAAGGATGACATACTTTGCACATATTATGATGACTTTATTTTCAGGATTATCGTCCATGGACGTGAGATTATTTCCAGTATAGTACCAGGTTCAGCTCAACCATTCAACTTTAAACTGAATTTCCACCTCACTGAGGAGGAGGTAAACTTGTTAAGATGTGCATTTTTGTCTGAGTTTTATATTTAACATGAGCATTAATTCTGTTTTTTGGTGGCACATTAGGCTTTACAGGTGAGTGATCATTTTCCTGTAGAAGTTGACCTGAAGCCCAACCATCGCTACCTTCTTCGCCATGACCTGTAAACCAAGCCTTTTTGGATATAACTGTAGTTTTACTTGATTATTAGAAGTTAAAACAAATAAAAAATACCCAACAAAATATTCTCTGATAAGTACTATTCTTTTAGAAAAACTCAAACTTATCATTATCAAAGTGGAACCGCACTCATCTCAGTTACAAAAGACACCAATGAACGTGCGTTGTTTCAGCATGAAGGAACTGTGTGTTCGACTGCTGGAGCTCATATTATACATCTGAAACCAAAACCACATCAAAGCTGACATCATTTCATAAGCTCATGAAGGTACGTGCCTGCAGCAACATTACTTTTGTCATTTCACTTTTTATAGAAAAACTCTTTTAAACGGAATTTTATATCGCCATCTTTTGTAGTAGCCCGATATAATGTAGACATCCGCTGTCATATATTTAACTAAATGTTTTCGTTTTAACTTGTAATTTATGCACCGTCTGTTTAACAGGAAGCCACATGCAGCAACAACAGATGAGAGTTACTTCGCAGTCTCTTCCTTTCTGAGAAAGGAGACTATCTGTGGCAATGCATTAACTTTTGTCTTAATATTGTATAACCTAGTCATTTGTGTATTTGTAAAGATGGAACAAAGTCTGTCTGATCTACTTAGTGATGCATTTTCAGGTAAGAAACATGTTTTTATTGTATTTATTTTGTTTAAAGTATTTACAAAAGGGTCATTTTATTTGATGATGTTGTTACAGAAACATCTGTTCCATCCTTTCCCGATGAAGAGCTGGACTTTGTGAATTTATATTTTGATGAAAAGTTTGAGGAAGACAAGACAGACCTCTCTCATGAAAACCAGGAAGCAGCAGGTGAAGCTACAGCTCTGTCTAGCGTGGAAAATAAAGACACATACATAGCCGAAAATGTTGACGAAGAGCAGTCTAATGACAAAAATGATGAGGAGGACTTTCAAGGGGCTGGGATCAGTGTCGTGAATATGGACAAAACACCAGAGGAGGATTACACAGGTTCAGATAAAGAGTCTGAAGAGGAAGCTTCTGTCTCTGGAGAAGATGAAGATTGTGAGGAAGAGGATATGGGAACAGGAGAAAGACCAGGAGATTTGATGATGTTAGTCCACTGTGGCGACAAGTCCTGCTACGGTAATACAGAGGACAGTATTGTTGCTGAGGGACAACCTCTGGCCCCAGAGGGTCCTGAAAGCCCTCAAGTTATAAATGAGGAACAAGGAGAGAGTGAGAGTGATGAGGAAGTGTCCTATAGCGGTCGAACCCCTGAACATGGCAATGAGGTGACGACAAAAGATGATGGGATTGAAGACGATGAAGAAAGGGAAGAAGAAAAGCAAGAGGACTCTTCTGATTCTGAGTGCGAGGGCATGAAAATCGGACAAGAAGAAAACATCCATGCTCAGTGCTTCGAGGAGGAGGTTGAAAGTCCTTACAAAGATGGGCCCATGAAAGTCAGTATGGAATTTCCAGAAATATTAGTGCAAAATTTGCAGGATCTCATTGCTGCAGTTGATAGTGAGGAATGTGCAGAAAAAATAGAGGATTTTATAGGGGAGGAACACCAAGAGGCAGGTGAGAGCGATGAGGAAGTGTCCTGTAGTGGTCGAACCCCTGAACATGGCAATGAGGTGACGACAAAAGATGATGGGATTGAAGACGATGAAGAAAGGGAAGAAGAAAAGCAAGAGGACTCTTCTGATTCTGAGTGCGAGGGCATGAAAATCGAACAAGAAGAAAACATCCATGCTCAGTGCTTCGAGGAGGAGGTTGAAAGTCCTTACAAAGATGGGCCCATGAAAGTCAGTATGGAATTTCCAGAAATATTAGTGCAAAATTTGCAGGATCTCATTGCTGCAGTTGATAGTGAGGAATGTGCAGAAAAAATAGAGGATTTTATAGGGGAGGAACACCAAGAGGCAGGTGAGAGCTTTGCAGATTATCCCTCTGCATTTTCTTCTTGTGAATATAGAGAAGATGGAGGAAATCAAGAAAACAGTTACAACTCCTTGCCTTGTGCATCTGACAACGGTTCAAACACAAAGCAGAACACCCGTCTGGAAGGGGCTAAAGATATAACATGCATGGAAAGAGAGGACACTGATGAGGTGGGAGATGAATATCTGCTCAGCAGAGATTTAGAGAGGGACGTTGATAGGTTGGTGAGCCTAGATGTGGCAGCTGGAGAAAAAGAGCAAGGAGAAACAGAGATTGTCGAGAATGTGTTGGTTGACACAGTTGTGACAGGGGGTGACGATGGAAGTGATACAGGCGAGAGTGACTCCTACAGCTCCAGTGATGATGAGGTCCAAGTGAGGGGGAGACATGAGGACCTCTTTGAAAATATGTGTCGGGAAGATCTTGAAAACAAGAAACTGGGGGACACTCAGCTTTACAGCGGGAGCAGCGCAGCCTTTTCCAGATGGAGTGTCTCTGATGACCGTCACATCACAAACAACAGAGAAAATCCACCAGATTTCAACATAAACTGGGATTTTGACTTGTTAAAACCTGATACCCTTCTGTTTGACGACCTGTTAACCACACAAGGGGAAACATCTCCTTCAGGTGTGAGTCAGTGTTCTGCAGAAGACATTGAGAGCTACTCAGTGGTGCAAAGAAAGGAAGGCACAACCACAACACCCTCTAATCAGGGATCCCTGGATGATAGTTTCTTCTTCACCGCTAAACCTGAGGCCTCGGGGATCAGTGAGCTGGAACAGTTGGGAGCTGACGAGTATGAAGAGGAAAGGAACTGGGAACAAGAGCAGGAGAGAATCAAGGCTTTCTACATGTTTTATGATGACAGTGAAGGGGACAATGGGAAAGAAGGTGAGTGAAGAAGAAGAATATAGTCTCCTATCAGAATCACAATAAGATCATGAACACCATCAGTTATTCAAATGATCACTTTCCATTTATGTGTTTTCAGAGAGGCAGACGAAGGTTCAGTTTTGTACAGATCCACTGTCTCAAGTAATTCACTATGAAACTGACAGGTAAGCAGATTTCCTATTCTGTTTGATAAAAGACTTCTGCACCAAATTATCACTACACATTTGAAACATACTGTAGTTGAACGCATGATTGACAGCAAAAAGATAAAAATTGATGCAACAGAACCAGAAATATTGTCTTTTGATTGCACACTTCTTTATTAAAGCCTGATGCTCACAGTGCCTTGAGCCCCAACCACCCAGTTAAATCACTTTAAGACAGTTTATCAGACAGTCACAGCTCCAACTGTTTCCCATTTTCTGAGCAGTGACAGAGAATCACCCAGCAGCTCCACAGACGAGGAGGGGGACCTGAGTTCAACAGAAACATCTGACGTAAGAAGTGATGATTGGCATGTGGACATGTATGAGCACACCCAGAAACACACTCACACACATGAACACTGTGGTGTCTGCACCCAGGAACTGAGAGAGCTTGACAACACGCTGCAAATTAAACCTACTTGTGATCCCCCATACACTTTGCTACAAGAGAGCAAGCCAGAGAAGAGCAAGCCAGAGAAGAATTGCAGCAACACACACGTCTGTAGCAAAAAGCATAAGGTGTGTACTCACAGGCCATTACCAAACATTCACTTTGGTCATTTTTTTTTGATTGTTTGGTTATTTGTACATTTCTGTGTTGTCTTTTTGTCGGCAGTGTCTCAGCATGCTGAAGCTGATAGTGAAGATGGGTCTGGTGATACTGTTGGGAGTGCTGATGTTCTGGTTGGCCACAGAGCAAGCAGACTGGCTCAGTCACATTTGTTTCTTTTAGGCCTACAGCTAATTTTTGTTCATTAAAACATTTTTACAGGCTTATATGTGTTAAAGAAAAAAAACAAAATGTTAAAACCAGTTTGTAAAAATGCAAAGTTAAGTGCTAAAACATGTCTCTAATATGCAATTTACATGCTTGATAAAAAATCTATTGGTGTTTACAATGATGCAAGCATATTTGCATCAAGTGTAGTTATCACAAATCATGTTCTCACTTTCATGTAATTAATCCAGAATAAATCCAGGCTAAATAGGTTTAGAATTACAGCTTCTAATGATATTATATTTGAATAATATGCCTGACACATAATGAATTTTACTATTATTAGTAGTCAGTGGTAAAAAAGTAACATGTATGCAGATAAGTACATTTATTCAAGTACCATACAATTTTGAGGTACTTGCACATGTTCATTTCTCTTTTCTGATATAGTAGCTACCTTTTGCCTTTTTTCCATCTCAGACAGAATATTGTAGTTTTTACTCTGTATGATATTGTCACAAAATGTGGTACATTAGTAGTTAAAATGAAGCCCACTTCGACCAGGTACAACGTTTAAATTATGCTATATGTTAATACACCAGAAAAAAATAAATAAATAAAAAAATCTACATATTGTGCACTTTTATTTTTGATACTCATAAGTAGGGTACTTTCTGTTAATAATAGCCTACTATTTTACTATTATTTAAGTATATTTTAATTGGATGGCATGTGCTTGTAATTGAATATGCTTAGATTATGGTATTGTTACTTTAAAAAGGGCCTTACTTCTGCGAGTGTTAGCATTATAAACATTAGCATTTGTAAATGTTAGTTTTATTGTGCTGGTGGTACCACTGGGTGGCGCTGCTTCACCAAAACAGAAAGAACACGTAAATTTAAAAAAAAAAAAAAACCGTCAAACGGAAACGGAAATGCTGTTCTGTTTCAGTTGAAGTGCGAAAGTTATTAACACCGGGCTCAACAAATGAGGGCGGGGTTCCATCTTTCCATGTATCCCATACACACCTTCGATTCGATTGTCCCCAGCTCATCCAAACGAGCTGCCACCTAATAGCGGTGGGAGGAGTTATAGTTCTTGTCTGTTTTGGGGAACTGAGACTACGGCGCAACCTAAACAGGAAGACAAACACACACAAAACAATAACACCGCAAATCTAGTTAAAACAATGTCTTCATTAAGTAGTAAATCTGTGCAGGAAATTAGCGACTTGCTGGATGAATATGGGATAAAGCACGGACCCATAGTCGGTGAGTAGCTCAGACTGAACCGTTTAGCGTTACTTTGCGCCTGATGCCAGCTAAGGCCTCCCCCTGGCTTAGTGATGTTACACAGTTTACTCCTGTAGTATGGCTTTATTCTATGGTTTTCTGCGTATACTTGTTCATTATTTCTCAAATATACGTTGTGTGTGACCTTTGGATTCAGATACCACCAGAGTTTTATATGAGAAGAAGATAAAAGAGGCCATGGCGAAAGGGAAAAGAGCTAAACCGTCACCCGACAAGACGATCTACAGAGAAGGTAATTTTTGTCTTTCACCCACATTCTGGATATTCTCATTTGTTATTTTCTTTGTTATATCATACACCTGTTTTCATCGAGTAGTAGGCCTACGTATATGTAAGTTCTGTGAAGGGTCCCTTCACAGAAGGCAGGGAAAATGTGTGAAGTCGGAGTACAATTTTGAGGTATCTGTACTGTACTTGAGTGTTTCTCTGCAACCTTATACTTCTGTTTAACTACACTTCAGAGGAAAATATTGTCCTTTGTTACTTTCTAGTTACTTTTCAGAATCTGGTCATTACAGCAAAATAGAATATAATCATTAGACTTTATTGATCCTTGGTGGGACTTTCATAAGCTACCCCACAGTATGTAAACTAATTCAGATAGTCAACATTAGTACCACCTTTACCAGCTCTAACTTTAAAGTGATGAACAGTGTTAAAGTGAACACACACATCAGTAATAATCCAGTAATATGATCAATATTATTGTGAACTCTGCTGTTCTGCACAATAAGTACTTTACTGTTGGTACTTTGAGTATATTTTGATGTTAATACTTATGTACTTTAACTATTTTTACACTGTGGTAATGCTATTTTTACTTAAATTGAGCACTATTCAGCACAGATTGGCTGACACTTCACTGTGTCAATGAATTTCATACTGGACCTCTGGCGTCAAAACATTCTCGACTTTTATTTGGATGTTTGTGATTTTATTTCAGAGGAGGACATTACCTATGTTTACAGCACACCGGTAAGTACCTCTTTGCACGCTGCCTCTAGGTGTTGCTCTTTTGAATCACTTTCTTCTTGAATTCAAGGGTAGCAAGATTGAAACAAGGGATTCACACTTTGATGTCATGTATTTTCTGCCAATAAGTGAGAAAGTGAAGTTATTTTTATCCCCAGGATAATGAAGTTTCAGCTGATAAATACTGTGTGAGGAGGAACCTTATTGATGGATGCATGATGCTACCCTACATGTTTAATGTTCAGTGTGGGCACTCTCCAGTTATAAAAATGTTTGTTTGTATGTTTTAGAATTTATATTTGTGCTACCTGTAGGCACATAGTAAATAAAGATTGTTTTATGAAGAACCTCAATAAAAACAGCCTTTCATGTGTTAGTTTAACAAAAATAGATGCTGAAAAAAAAACACCCTGAAATTCCATATCAGCGCATCTCTATATTGTCATATGTCATTTATATTCACTGTTTGCCCCATTGTGTCATCATGGCCTGACTGCCAGCTGTCAGTGTTGTAGTAAAATACTCAGTGTCCTCTGTGCACCTAACGTAGTTTGAGAGGTCAGTTTCTGAGATTATTATTTTTTTGCCTGATTGTAACAGCAAAATCCCCATATCAGTTATATTTATAGAACCCAAAATAAAATGTCTTAATTGAAATACTGATATACAAATATACCTGTAAATGTAAATTTTCAACAGGTAAAGGTATTATGTTTATAGGTATTCTTTGTTTATATCAAACCTGTTCCAGCCCTTATCATCTCTCTGTCTTTCATTATGCAGGTCAAAAGTGTGAGCAGAGGAGAGAGGTGAGTTCATTTACAAGGTTTGTCTTCCTCATCCAGTTTGAATACATATGGGCCTGAATTAATAAATACGTCTTGCGTCCGTCTAGCGGCTCTTACATGAGGTCAAGACCAGAGTGGACTGAGAGGGAATTTGAACATGAGTAAGTTACAGCTGTACCAACTGTTGTTGCCATTACAGTTGTTAAGGAGTATTACAAACTTTTAATTATGTACTTTTTATGTCACCACAGGGTGTCTTACTCAGACTACTCGAGGTCAAAGCCTGAATACGGAAGAAGGGATTTTGTTGATGGGTAAGTGTGTTTATACAAAGTCAGTTGGCGATCAGCTGATCATTAAATTTGGTAAATTGTTTACATCCTATTTTTGCCTCCTACAATTGTGTTGTGGTGAAAAATTCTGTATATTCAAGAACCATATAATATGAGCTGCATTCAGCATGTTAATTATTCAGAACTTTTATTACCAAAGAAACTGGCCATTATCATACACAGTGCCTCAGATTTTAACTGGACTCTGAGGAATGCTGCATCTTCCTACCTCATTAGCACCACAGTTTTTAATTTTTTTTAAGTGATTGAATATATCCAACTACATTTACTCAAATTCAGTACAACTCTGAGATACTTGTACTTTACTTGAGTACTCCTATTTTATACTACTTTTCTTCCACTCTATTACAATTCAGAAACAAATATTGCATTTTTCACTCTAGATTTATTTGACAAGTGCACATTTACAAATTATACAAAACCTATGATAATCATAAAATGTAATGCACTGTTACAGATTAAACTACCCAACATTACATAAAATTGATAAAACCTGCTACTTTAACAGTAACATGCTACATAAACATAGTGATGATCCAGTAACATTGTGAATAATAGTAACATACACACTGTTCCTTTGATATTTTATAACAACCTTTATGTAGTAGGATTTTCAGTATAGCACTTTTACCTGTAATGGACTATTTTTATATTACAGTACTTCTATTTTACTTCACTAAAAGACAACTTCAAATGTCTTTTTTCGCCAGGCAAACAGCCCAAAACAAAGATGTAATTATATATAAGAAACGCAGTAAATTTCCACAATAAAGAATTAACATACTTTTTGCTGGGCCTGTTATAATTACACTGACTGGTCCAAAGGAGGGCAGCACCACGATTATGTTTAGTGAAGATATGTTAAATAATAATGGCTACAACTACATTTACACCTTACCACCTCACTGTTGTGTAACCAACTAAGGTGAGAGCCAGAGTTACAGGTCAGACAAGGTGACGTTTGTGAGGGAGACTGTTAATCATGTAGTGTATCATAACTCCTCTAATACCTCTCCAGGTCCTACATGTATGACACACCATCCACTTACAGCAGCTCGTATTTGAAATCGACACCCATGAAATTTGATCAAGATGCTCCAAAGGCACCTAAGGCACCAAAGTCATCTCGCCTTATCCCACTATGGGTGCAGTTTGTGTGCTTCCTGGCCGTGGCAGTCTTCCTCTACTTAGTGTTCTCCAGTATGGAGAAAAATGAGTCCCTCAAAGAAATACAATGATTGTTTTAATTCATGACTGGTTTATACTTTATGCATTTTAATTCAAGGAATGTATTTTTGACTTTGCTGAAATTGTGGTTTATGCAATATTTGTATTCATTACAACTGACATTTATTAGCCCGCTTACGCTTAAAGATACACAGTAGAATTATCAGCCAGCTCCAGCACAGCGCTGCTACTAGAAAAGGTGAGAATGCCATTTCAAAAACACGTCTTTCTTCCTTCAACCTGTTCAAATAGTTTCACTGTGATCTGTTGACGTTTGGAAATCACAGTGCACACAGTGGTGTTTGGCTTGTGGTGCAGAATGTGCCAATAAATAAATCTGAAAACAACTCAGCCCAGATGCACATGGAATATCCTCAGATAGTTGTGTGAAAATTTAAGGTCAGTGGATTATCAAGAAAGGGGTCTCATATTTAGACAACTTTATGATGTTGAATGTGGGTGTTGGACACATTGAGCATTACAAACTATTTTGTAAAAAATTCTGGCATTCAGGCTGTTGTGGTGAGCCTCAGGTATATCTACCATAAGCTGCAACAGTTAACGGTGAATCCATCTGCACAAGAAGATCACACCATTTTGACCCAAAATATTCAAACAAGTTCACATCAGAGTTGGACAGCAAACAGTTGCTCATGAGACTTATATAAGATGTATGGTTTTACCAGATTTTAACCAAATTAGTTTTTTTTTTCCATTGCTCTAAAGCCAGTGTGTCCATATCCCAAAATTGTTTATATTGTTAATACAATGATATGGTTAATACAGTCTTGAGAAATGCTTCCTTGTCAGTCATCTGAAATGATTACATTCAAGTAGCACTGGGTCAGTTTTCAGACTAGCTGTAAAGCAAGTGCCTCAGTGGTTCAGTAGGAATAACTGGGATATAATTAATGTTGCCAGTGTTTAATACTTTCGAGGAAGTGTTATCTTAACTGTGCTTTTTATATAAGCTGTAACACCATGTTAATGCTTTGTCTCAGCAGAATGGATTCAGAGATATCACTTTTGTACTACATAATCCAACCTTTACATCTGTGATGTTGTGGCTGTTTTGTATTGCTGTTTCATAATTCACAATATAGAAAAGCAAACTTTAAGTGTCAAGTCATTTGTTTAGGAGCCAAAACAAGTTTTAAATGTTAAATAGCTAAAATAAACTACATAAGAGGAGAAAGATTTTGATCTGATGCTATAAAGGAACCTACAGTACGCACCGTGGGAGCTAAAGACTGTCAAAGCTCTGACACAAAAGTCAAAAGAAACAGGAAGCTCCAACAACAGCATTTTAATGAACTACAACCTCTACTAACAGACTCCAACTGCAGTGATGTATGTTGTTAATGATGTGAGATGAATAGCTATGTTAGACTTAAAATACAAATCATTGCTCTGTGGAAGTGAGTATATAATAAGCTAGTGGAGCCTGTCATTAGTGTTACATGTTAATAAATACAAAAAAGTGTTTTTAAACTGCATATAAACAGAGACCTGAGGAATCCATGTCACACTTGTCCCAGTTTAGCTTTCAGGAGCAGCTTTTGACTCCATACATCTGGAGTCGTAGCGCTAGCCAAGTCAGACTGAATCTGGAGTCTAGATTGAACCAGTACTGCTTTTGAACTAGAAATGCTTTCTACTGTCCGTCAGGCTCCTGTGGTCTTTAACTTAGATCTCACAATCATGTAATGCAAAACAGACAGTTTCCCAGCAGCAGCCTGACGTTTGGTATGACAGAATAGTGCAGTGCAGTCTTGGATAAATCTGTGTTAGTGTCCAGTGAAAACATGCCTCAATCCAGACTGGGTTCCACTTGTTCCATTTCCAAAGGTGTGGTGGAAGAACAACCGAGCCGTTTTGTTCTGTTACATCCCCTACTGCCTGAGTCCATGTAGACAAAGCCTTCAGACTGGCCGCTCAATAGCAATTCTGCTTGAGGAGAAACATACAGTGCTCTACTTTAATACGCTAGTTTTGTACAATTAAGAACATAGCCACAGACAATGAAGAGTAAAATATTACCTGTGTAAAAGAAAAAAAAAAAGTAGTCATCCTCACTTAGTAATTTTGAGGTTTTAATCTGAATTCAAAGTAGAATTCATAAAAAGGACACACCTAAAACAGTGATGTAGCCAACTAGTTTTAGCCACATCGTTAATTAGATGGAGATGATCTGTGTATTCAAGAAGTTCAGGTGATTGTAGTAAAAATACACGCGTATCTAAAAGGTCCTACATTTAGTGAGTTAACTTAGTATCCACTAAGAAAAATCAAGAAAATATTACATTCCTTTTGATGTATTTATAAAACAATTTAAGACTTTGATGGTGATAAATACATTATATAGACACTGTATTTGCAAGAATCATGACCTGCAATCCCTTTAGTCATCTGTTGCCTGCATACTCCCATCATAGCTTGTTAATCGATAAGGCAACATAAGTGTTGTCCACACCTGCAAACAGAAGCACATGTATTACTTTGAGGATGCTTTCTCCAGAGCTACAATACCTAATGTCTTTTTTGGCCTAGAGGATCTAGTAAGACTCAAAACTGACACCATAAGCTGCTCCTAACTACTCTTTGCGCCTCCCTTCAAGTCTTGTTACCTAGTGATGTCACAACTACAGGTGACTGGTTGCGGCAAACTGTACAAAATGCAGCCTCCAATCTGAAGCTAGCATTGGCTGGTTAACAATTAAACCTGGCAATCCAGCAGAATGCTCTGGTTACTGCTAATGTGATGCAAAATTCAAATTACTCCCAAATTAAGATCCTAATAATTCAATACAAATGTAAACTCATGACTGTGCTACGTCGCTAACGTTGCCAAAACAAACACATTAGGTTTAGATGCTAATGCATCCATAAGGAAACACCACATCTGAATGAAATCTGAGTCCTTTGGTTGCTTTTAACACTCTCCATCTCAAAAAGCTGATTCTGATTCCGGATTTTAACCCTGGTTGTTGCCCTTTCTTTGTCCTACTATCTCTGTGCAGTCTCTTTGGTCTGGCAGCCTGTTTCAAGCTTTTAGCTGATGAAAGGTCATCTGTGTCTGGGTATTTACAATGACTATTCGTGGGTCAAATTACACTTTTTATAGTCTTCGCTAGGTGTCAGTAGGGGCTAATTTAAGGACCTGATTTTGCCAACACAGTTTGGCAAAGCTGGAATAACAACAAAAGGTACCCGAGCATCATACAGGTAATAGAGACATCAGGACCTGTCCCATTTACGCTTATCAGAAAATGTGAAAAACCTTAGTTAATGCACCTTAAAAAAAATAAATAAATAAAATCACATCTTTCATCTCTTTCTAAATATTAAAGGCGGGAAAAAAAGGGACTTACAGGTTCTGGTCTCTCGCTCCAGTTCAGAAGGCTTCTTGTCCTTGTTACACAGTACCTTGGGCACAATGATTATAATGATGACAGCTACAACAAATGTCAGGCCGGAAACAAGCCAGCTGATCACCACTGGACTCAGTACTGGATCTGGGTCTGAGGGTCAGAGGAGTTATCTGTAAATTCCATTCAGGGAGGATTTTCACAGATGAAATTTTAGCTGCTGCTGCAAGTAACTGCTACAAGCTGAAGGATACTTGCAAATAAGAAAAACACAAAGTCTTTCTATCAGAAATGTCTAGATAGAACCTCACTTATCTAAGACATTTTAAAATGAAAAAAATCATACTGATATTATGGTATTATTCTGTTTTTATCCACTCCATGCCACACACACAATACTTTGCTTCATTTCTGTGATGTCAGTTTCACCTCTGATGGCTATAGGCAGGGGCTGGCTTTCTCTGGAGACGAAGATGCGTCCACCCAGCTGGACCCGATACAGGCAGTAGTAGTAGCCCTCATTCGAGGTCTGGGCATTGGGAAAGGTGAATGTGACGGACGGGGTGAGGGCAGGCAGAGACTGGCGCACTGTGCCGTTGGAGCGGATCAGACGCAGCTGGAAAGAACCTCCAGGGTACTGCTGCAGGGTGGAACACGTGATGTTAAAACTGTGGCCTTTAATGACGGAACCAGCCGGGGCCTCAGTGGATGTGTTGAACCAGTGATGAGGTGTCAAGAGTTCCACTGCAAACAACCGAAAAATTATGTCACACAAAATGGACTTAAAAAAAAAAACAATTTAAATAACTAGCTGAAACAAATAAATATTGCCAAATATATGCAACACACCTAGAGTTAAATAATTACAATTATGAGTAGCAGTGAAAAATTTTTAAAAACTAAACTTTAAATGGTCCACTTAACTAGCTTTTTGGAACTTTTACCTACATCCCACCGGAGATGGAAATGATTGTGAGCTTTGAATATTCTGTTATGCATACTATTTATAAGGTCAAGAATGAACTTCCATGTTCAACATCAAAATGTTTTGTGTCCTCCAAGCTATAAAATTAAATCAAAGCTCAGAGAAATTCAGATCAGTTTATTGCAAACCCATCAGCTTGAGTCGAGAATCAAACATCTAACATAGATTGCACAACAAAGATATGTGCTCTAGAAAATGGGTGGTGGTGCAATGGGGATAATATGGATTGGACAACATGGTTATGACTCACCCACAGTGATGTTGATGGAGTTGCTGGGTGGAGAGTTGAGCAGCTGAGAAGGAAAGCCGCCTCTGATTCTGTACCGACAACTGTAGCTGCCCTGATGGAAAGTCTCTATGTCAGACAGTGTCAGCTCTGCTCTGGCCTGGGTGTGGTCTGCCCTCTGTGTAACCAGCGGTGTGGACACTCCCTGTTTGTACAGGTGAAAGTCGCTGAGGTGGTGACCCAGCAGGACACTGCAGCCGAAGCGAACGGCCTCCCCGGGAGAGAACACATTGTGAGGTGACAGCAGGGTGAGGGTGGGCATTAAAAGGGTACCTGTGAGTGACAACAGGTTAATCAAAACTGTGACATGGAGCTCATGGACCGTACTCTAGCTTATCAATTATAATCGCTATGACATGCAGCTTGGGTCCCAGTTACCCAAAGGAACTCATTGTACCATCTCACTTTAGCGTTTTCTTGTACCTGTACCTTAAAAAAATGATTTTCTCTGTCTAGTCCACACATCACCATAATGAATACAGCATGTATATCTACTCTTTTGGCAGACACTTTTGTCCAAAGCGATGTACAAATGAAGTACAATCCAAGCCACAACGCATGATGGAGAGTCCATCAAGACAGTTTTTTAAAGGGGAACAAAGATAGAGTAGAAGTGAGAAATAACTGAAAGTAACAAAAGAAGCATATTAGGTGAGTAAGTGCCCCCAGAAAAGGTAGCTCTTGTTGCAGAAAAATAAAGTTCTGTCCTAATAGTCACTGGTGAGGAGTGTGAATAAAGGTCTAAGACACGTATGTCTTGCAAGAAAGGAGCACTCTATAACAGCATTCAGTGTGGTCTGCTACAGAGGCTCAAAAAGCAAAAAGAAACTCAAGTCATGGATATATACATTGGTCTCACATAGAAGTTTCAGGAAGGATTAGATAAAAGGCACCTGCTCTGATTACACACATGCACATACACCCAAAATGAAAGACGTCTTTGTCTTAAGATGATACAAGATGGTACTCAGGATCAGGGAGTGCATATCTCTTCAAGGACAGTTTTTGCTATCTTTAATGAGCAGAAAGTTCACTTATTCTGTGTGGACAGAGTTCACCTCACTTCAAGGCATACATGAGCGAAACAAAATTTTCCTATTAAACTCGTTTTTGAGGGTGTAGGGTATTTATGTTGCTGTTATGACAGTGATCTATTTCCTGCTAATGCTGGTCATCTCACCTATAGCACCAGATTAGAATCTCACCTGAGCATTTGACCCCTGCATCATTCTCATGGGTGCAGTAGGAGTTACTGTGAAGGACAACAGCACAGCGTGTCAAACTGGACTCATGTCCAGCACACTGGACATGCCGTAGCCAGATCTCTCCTCTGCCTCTGCCAAATGCTGCACCGTGAAGGGCGGACTCGGCTAAGCCACAGCCCAGCTCCAGGCACACCACATCAGCCTCCCGGAGGTCCCAACCATGGTCGCAAACGGTCCCCCACTGGTCATGCTGGAGTACCTCAACTCTGCCAGAACACCTGTTCTCCCCATCCACTAGTCTGACCCCACCTATGGTTCAGAAGAAATTACTTAGACACAGAAAGTGTGAGAACAGTTGTGAATGCAGGCAGCAGGTTTAAATCAATCCCAGGCTTACCAAAAGCAT